GTCTGCTTATGCATTATAGTAAGTATTTGTTTCTGATTGAGTTCTCAGAGCATTAGCTTTTGCTATTGACCTGGAACTTGAACTAATTGCAGATATAAATATACAACAACAAAGGGCAGGATGAAGACTAATCTTGTTTATTACACCAACAAGTGCTTTCAGTGGCCATGATTTCAACGCTTCATTTATACTCTGCCAAGTGAGTTCCCGTGCTTGGTTTTCAGAACTGGAACCAAAGCATGTCAATGGAAGCCAGTGAAAGTATTTTTCTTTACCTTTATCACACTATTTTACTATATTTAGAAAATAATTAGACAAATCACAAGCACGCTTTCCACAACAATAATACAAAAAGTACACTAGAACCAAACCACACCAATCTCCAATCCACCCATCACAACAATATTTACACATTTAAATATCATGCAGCACCTTGTTCTCACTGCATCATTTTTAAATGAAATCTAAAACTAAAACACAGCAACTGAAAGACATTTAATTAACAGTGGAAACAAAAAAGCAGCCATGCTCAGTTTATCAATAATAAAAGAACAACACATTGTAACCAGTGCTTTTTGTCCAGGGTACCACCAGCTTTTTACCCATAATTACAAGGCATGAAGTTAAAATACAATTAGAGGAAAAAAAGACTGTGGTATGATGTTTAACAGCCTAAACAGGGATCCACATTGAGGCTAGTACGACAAGTCCCCACTGTGAACAACAGTAGAGTACATTTCCCTTCATTCCCTCCTGTCCCGTGTAGTGAGGCGGATTAAACTTTTCGTCCCCACATCCCTCACCAACCACCCCTCACACACACACAGGCAGTTTACTAGCCGCTAATCCTCTCCCGCCCGGTTTAAACACTTTAAATGGCCGGACTTACCTTGGAAACTATCCCCGAGTTAAATAGGCATTATTATATTGTCGCCTTCCATGGCTGGTACCTCAACGAGTTGTTCCTCGACTCACCGATGACACTAGACACGAAGTAGCGGGGCAAGAGAGCAACAAAGTCGGACAGCAACCAGGAGGAGGAGAGAGGAACGAGGCCGGAAAGTGGGCTGCTGCGCCATTGGAGGCGGCGGATGTCAATCACCTGACTGAGTGGGCGGCCCCTAACTGTAAAGAGATTATGGAGGCTGAGCTATAGGTCTGAGGTGTAATGAGGAATGCGGGATGAAAAACAGAGCGAGGTCTCCAACAGCAGGGTTAAGAAAGTCTGAATGTTTTGGTCTGTTTTTAATGTATGCAGGTTATTTCAAATGTGTGTCTACTATAAAAAATGGAAAATAATCAAAATTCAACTTCAGGCAGTTGTAACTTTAAAAAAAATGTACTTATAAAAGCTGCCTCTTTTAATTTCTAATGAAATTTATGTATATAAATTTTTTCCATGGTTTACCTGTTTATTTTTTATGCACATAGCATAAAATAGGTATAGGTAGTCGGAATATGTATTGCAATATAAACAATAAAAGCACAACACTTTTCAATGGCAAAGTAATGCTGCATACAGGCAGGTTTTGATTACAGATTTCACCAAACTGACAAAAGATTTTCACTGGATATATTAATTTTATTTAAGGTGATTTATTTTTAAGACATAATATTGTTACGTTAGTTCTGTTTTTATTTTATTTTATTTAGCTAAATGTTTTGTTTAGACATGAATAAGCTCTTATGTGTCAAAGTAACTGAACATGTCTATAACAATGGAAGCAAAACAGCCTTTTACAGGTTTCCAGCTAAAATGTTGATCCCGTCTCATGAAGTGCACCACTGATTTACTTATTTCTTTTTATATTTGGCTTACCTGTTTGTTAATGAGTAAATAACACATTAAACCAATTAATGGTTCCAGTGCTCTGGGCTTCAGCAGCAATAAATGACATGACAGTAACAGCTAATTATTGGAAATAATTCCCTTTTCGCCTCCCCCATGAATGGTAGAGGTGGAAAAACACATCTGTTGGTCTAATGCAGTATATTAAAAAACCACTGCTTGTCACAGGGACAGATTTACCACATGACAAAACAGCTTTCTGACATAACAAATTCTCGTGCAAAGTCTGTTTTACACTCTTTTTTCCTGTAAACTAACTTTGACCTCTCACCTAGATCTCCTCCACAGAGAATAAAACAGCCACTTGTGCAGCTTTTCGTTCAGTTTTATGATTAACAGTCAAGAACAATTAGAGTGCAAACTGTGGCAGTTGGATTCCAGTCCGCTCATCAGGCATACAAGGGTGACATCAATTATTCCATTGAAAAGGGGATTTCCAATTTCCAAAAGCTCAGCCAGCCCCCCTTACTGACCCTGACCTTTTTAGCTGCAGCTTGGAAGAGTTACATTTTACCATCTCATTAGGAGCAGAAGAGCAGTGATTGCCAAGCATGCGTAAAAGAGATATGAAAGAGTCTGGTTGTCCATCTTAATTTATCAGCTTATCCAGTGTTTACATATTTGAAATGAGATTTTTTTTTCTCCTATAGAGTGTACCTGCTTAATGTTTGTCCTAGAACAGCGGTCCCCAACCCCCGGGCCTCGGACCAGTACCGGTCCGTGAGTCGTTTGGTACCGGGCCGCGAGAGTTGAGGCTCAGGTGTGAAATGTGTGGTTTTCAGGGTTTTTATCAGTTTTCAGCATTATTTTGTTATTGTTTTGATTGTTAACTCGGTTTTCCTGGGTCTTTTCACGTGTGTCATGAATAAATCTTATTTTTTTTTGGTACAGGTACTAGTTTTATTTTATTGTATTTATTCGCAACACCTTAAAGGCCGGTCCGTGAAAATATTGTCGGGCATAAACCGGTCCGTGGCGCAAAAAAGGTTGGAGACCGCTGTCCTAGAACACTTGTGGAGTGAATTCCCCATCACTACAAGCTTTACAAAAATACCGCTTTCCTGAAAATGAGCATTCACTGTTTGTTTGCTTGTTTAAATTGTGTTTGTTAATTTAAATCTTTCATACTTTTGAAAGAGCAGTTTGTGGCATTGTTGGAGTGTACTACTTTTGCCTTCTGCTGACCTATCCATCTGTGTGGTTTGTATTTTCCAGTCTATTATCTTGCCTGGCATCTGTCTTACTACTGCTGGACGAAATGTACCTGTCACTCTGTTCCCATCTGCCTTATCTTTTGTCTCATTGGTTTGTATGTGTCCGTCCTTCATCTGGGTCTTTTTTCTGTAGCTCATTTAGCCATCTGTTGTGACACTTTTGTATTTTCATGCATCCAAAAACTAGGCTTCAAGTTAGCAATTAAATATCTGTTTCTATGATAAACATATTCAAATTTAGATTGAAATTATACTAGTGTCTTCTCTTTAATTTTGTTACAGTAATGCACCTTGTAATACAAACTTTAAAGTAAGTGTAGACTTTAAATCTATTATGCAGGCTATTATTTGTTGACGACGACCAATAATCTATATTCAGTTTCTCAAACTCAAATTCTTACATAGAGCTTACAGTTAAGCACTCAGGACTCATAATGTGAAATAGCACTAGAGCATCTCAATGAAGTGAATGTTAAAGAAAGAAAACTTTACCTTATTTCTCTACAATTATATAAAAAAAAAAAAGTCAACCACTTGTTGCTTTATGTTCTGTGGTATTGCTTCCCTCTGCTGGGCCTTTTAACTCATTACAGAGTTCAATAAGTTTAAAATAAGAACGGGATCAGTCCTATAGACTGTGCACATCATCCACATTTTGTATACCACAGTTTACCACACTTTAACACAAATACTCAAGCAAGCCAGTGTAAATCCACCAGTGCTGACCTGCTCGCTGTCTCTCAGCAAGATTACATTAAACCTCAGTTCATATGCAGCCAGTTATTAGATTTTAGCAACACATATTTTACAGCCAAGTCTTTACCTCGTTGTGTTTTTGAGCTCTACCACCAGTGCACAGTTGTAACTTGTGCATACCACTACCAAAAGTAATCCCAATCTTTCTCTGATATACAGCAATGTGTGTCCCAAGATTACTGTCAGTACACCCTATGCTTTTAGGCATTTTAACCTGGTGGTGGTGCAAAAGGAAAAGCAAGACAATCCCTTAGCACAGATGCAATATACCATAAGGGCTCCACACACACCCTTCCAGTTTTCTCTAAGGGTATATTTACTCATCATACTACATGTTTATATATAACACGCTGTCAGAGTGATGAGCTCAGAACTGTAATTATTCTATTGTTGCAATAAATCATTTAACGTTGTGAGTTGTTTGACTGAACCATCTTAAATATTTGTTAATATTTCAGCCTGGGTCAAGGTTTTTGTCAAACTGAGCCTCCCATAAGTGATGAGGATTATAAATACTGTGATTTCCCATTTGTATAATTAAAATTTAATGCACTTTCTGAATTTTCTCTAATGTCTGACCTGAGGCTGGTAAAAGCAACACTATTTGATATCCAATGAAAATCACTGGATATTGTTTATAATCGTCTTGAACAACAAAACAAGATGTCACTCTTTCCTTCTTTCTTTTACTTTTTTTTTTTTACTTGGTGTTGCTCACTAAGTGAGTAATCTTAGCATATTCCACTTGCTTATATTGGCAAATCTATTCAAAACTTTCAGAACAGTTTGTTCCATGATAAGAGATATTTTGGACCTGATGTGGTTTTGCTGTGTGCCATGGTTTTCACTGTTACTCACTGTATGCCGACTGATGTCATCATCTGGCTTGTGTTGGATCTCCACAAAGTGGCTTATCCAGTGCTTTAAAACAAAATGAGAAGATGGAAATGTGCAAATCTAAATAGACACAGACTACACACCCACGTGATGCATTCAAAGAGAAACAACAGAGCGCGCACATACACACAACAATGCCCGTCAGACACCTATCTGAACTGACTCTTCCACTTGAATATTTCTTTTCTGGCATTCACACCCTAGGTTAAATCTATGCATGCAGTCATATGTGGTATTAGCTGGGTGTGGTCTTCACTGGCTTGTTATACAGGCCACAGCTGAAAGGCTGAATAGTCACAGGCATTCACTGACGCCACCCTCTCCCTCTTTCACTCTCCTGCCTCACATTTCTCTGTTTCACCCTCTGTTGCTCCAGCACTCACCAGTATTCAACTTCTTTAACAAAAAGGTATTTATATTTCTACTTTCTTTGTAGCATAAACTATACGGATGGATAATCTATATGGATTATATATAGTACTTTGTACTTTTTTCCTTTCAGCTATATTATTTAAAATTTCATTTCTAGAGTAAATCCTCTTTATCTCTGTCCTCATTTAAGTGCTCTCTTTGTGGACTTGGACAGACCAAATCGAGTGGGACATCTGCAAGTTGGTTGACAAGTAAATTATTCTGCTCATCTGAAGTGTTTTTCTGGAAACCAGTCTTTCTCTTGTGAGGAGCACAGCAGAGTTTGGTGTATAAAGATGTCTCTTCCATTGCCACTGCTGATATGCCTATCAGTTATCCAGCTGGGCTTGGGAGATCAGCTTGTGGAGAAAGTCGTCATAGCCGGTAAGTAATTATATCGATAAGAAATATAAGAAGCAAAAGCAAATGTGGAGTAATGTCACAGGCAAGCGAGCCAGAAAAAATAGCTTCTGAAATTTTGGGGGCAATACTGCAGAAATACTATCTAATACACGCACATTATTTTTTTTTAAATGTGAAGTTTCATGACAACTGAAGTGGCTGTATTTATTAATGTGCTTCAAAAGAGCCTTACACTGGATATATAAATTCATGAAAAAATATCACTTTCCAACAGGGACATTTGCAAAAATGTTAAGAAGCTGTGTAAAATTAATATGTGAAATATTTGCAGATCACATAAATATCTAGTTAAAAAATATTTCATTGTTTCCTTAAAGTATGCACTGATTTTAAAACCAACACCAGCAACATGCTTTGTGAAAGAGCTGGGATCTGCAGATGTTTAACCCTATGTTGTAACATCTGTCCTTTTAACAAAACTGTATGAGATCAGCTGGAATTTTGTTGAAATCATGTTTGTCTATTTTTGTCAGATGATGGATGTCATTTGTCCTGAGTAACAATGGGTTCTGGCCAGTTTAGCAACAGGACTGTTTTATTGCACAGTTAGTTATGCTGTTGTAAATCATGCAGTGATTAGTTGAAAAACAAAATCTTGTCTGGTTGGCAGCATCATGTTGCTCCAAAACCTGTTCGTGTTGCCCAGCGTACATAGTGTCAGCATGTACAATCAAGCAACCCAATAAAGATATACTGTCCATGATTTCCAACCATAGGACACATTTCCTTTCGAGTCCATTTTAAATGCACTTGATCCTAGAAAAGGTTGTTTTTCTGTCTGATCCCAATTCAGTGCCCATTTAGACCCAACAGATCATGCATGCAGTGTTGGCTGGTTGTTGTGATTTGGGGCTATATAAATAAAACTCAGTTGAACAGAACTGAATTAGTCTTGCTCTTTAGATGCAAATCCTACATGGATAAAAACAGCCACCAGTATATTATTATGTTATTTTAAACTTCATCTAAATACATTATGAGAGGCATCCATCTATTTCAACAAATTAGTTTAAATGGGTCGACAGAATCTGTCTCTTGGATTCTGATTAGTACCTCAACATGTGGTGACAGTAAAGTAGAAACAACATTGGGCTTGAAATGGGAGCCATTCTTATAAAGTACAATGGAGGTATATAACAATGACTGCACTGGAGCGTAGACATCTGTGTCAGAACCATGACTAACAGTCTAGAAACGAGTCAGACAAAACATTTGCAATTCAGCTACTTTGACTTTGTGTATTCATATGACATTTAGCCACAATGAAAAACATGTATTAGTAAATTGCCTACTATCGCAGCATTAAAGAAAGGATGAGATGAAATGTGCATATACACATCTGTATTTTTTTTATACAAATGATGAAGAAAAAATACAATAATACAATAACAAAATGCAGATACCAACCCAGGGTAATAACAAGACAAAATACAGAAAAATACAAATGCTAATAGTGAAAAACATATGATAGTCATTAAATATTTTTGTGGCATGATGAGAGAGGCTAGATGTGATCTTCTGTTGTGCCCCTTGGATGTCGTGTTTGTTAGAGTTTAAGGGAATTGTGTTTGCTATTATGGTTGCGTAGCTGTTATACGCTTGTTTCTTCCAATGCTACTGTGTTCTTTAATGGCTTACAGTTGTTGTTGTTGTGGAAATGAGATGTTGCACCATGAGTGAAGTTATGCACTGGGCTAACAAAGTGTTAGAATGTGTGCAAATGCTGAATAAAATAGCAGTTGTCGTGACAGCTGAAGCTTCAGTGTCTCTGTGTCAGTTCTTGCATTACAGATTTCTCAGCATGGCATAATATGGTAATAAATAACATTGTTTAAAACCATTCATACAGTCAGGGAGCTTGCATTTTGCCTCTTAGTAAGTCTTTGAATGTTAAAACGGCACCAAAATGGCGCCATATTTGATGACTCTGTACTGCAGTCTGGTTGGCTACAGTGAGTCATGTTTATCTTAGTGAGAACACAGATACAGATGTTCTTGCTCAAGTGCTGTTTAATTTGGCATGGTGGAGTTGTAGCTGCAGAGTGTTAAGGAATAAAAATAATAAACGAGTAATCCATCAGGAAAACTCAGTACCAGTACTTAGTATGTAAGGAAGATTATATATAGTGCAGTAAAATCTGCAGCATGGATGCAATTTACGCAGAATTTGGAATGCAATGTGATTTATCATTTTCATAACTTTGGAGTGTTTGTTTTCAGACATACATTTGACAAAATTGCATTTTTCCTTGCGTATAACTTTAACTTGTGTTTTAAGGCCAACTCCTTGCTAAATCTGTTAAGATGAAAACCATTGTTTTACTCACCGAGTACTCAAATAGATGTACGTTAAGGGGAAAAATAATGGGGGAAGGATTAAAAGAAAGTCAGCCTCGAGAAATTAGTTTCAGGAGTGATTTGAAACAAAACACTGATTAAGCTGATCTGACAGGCCAAAGAAGAATATTCCAAAGTTTAATCTCCACAACATCAGAAGCTCACTTCTTATTTAAAGTAAGAGGGTGGAGCAGTGAAAAGATGAGAAGTCGCATATAATACCTCAGTCGCGCTGATATATATGTAGGCAGGAGCCATGTAGGGCTTTACAGCAGATTCTGATGAGCAATGCTTGGTTTGGCCTAGAAGTCAGTGTAGTTTGGCAGTATAAGACCAGCTCAGTGCAGGGTTTTGTGGTTTCTGGACTAAAATATGGAGTTCAGCATAGTGTATGACTTTGCAAATGAAAGCAGATCCAAGTTAATATTAGGATATAAGAGGATTACTAAGGTAAGCACTTTTAATAATTTCCTAAATTGGCAGATGCATTAAGTGGCACACGGTTTAGTGCAATAAGGAAATGCATCCTCATAATAATATCCATTCATCATTTTTTTTAATCATTGATGTGATATCTTGATGAAATTGTGTAAATTAAATGTCTGTGTGTTTTCGTGTGTTTAATTTCATCAAAGAAAACAAGCCTCTTCTGGGTGGCTGGGTTAAAAGGAATCCAGATTCAGCCGAGGTTCAGGAGGCAGCTCAACATGCTGTGAAGATGTTCAATGAAAAGTCCAAGGGCAAGAAAATGTTCAAATTGATTGAAGTGACTGATGCTCAGAGTCAGGTTAGAATCAGCTTTCACAAACAAAATAAATCAGCGTTTTACTATTGCAATCCCACTACAGCGTAAAATATACATTTATGTATGCTGATGTTTGTAGGTGACCAATACAATCGACTATAAGATTGATGCAGTCATGGGAAAAACCAAGTGTCCCAAGTCTGAAAACCAAGACTTGAAGGGCTGCAGTGCTGTGAAAAAGGTGAATGTTTTCTCTGTCTGCAAATGTAAAAGTCTGTAAAGTTTGTAAAGTCTCTCAACAATATTTTTTTTCCAAAGCAAAAAAAGTGAAAAGCTGAATATTAATAAATATTAAGTTAAAAACAGAAATCTAGAGAAATGCTCCCTTTTGATTCTCATGTAATGCTCATTGTTGTTTCCTCTTTCACAGCATCTGAAGTGCCGCTTTGTGGTGACGTACAACCCCCGCAACAACAAACACGAGCTGCAGAAACAAAAGTGCAGGAAAGTTAAAGACAATGTTTAAACTTTGAACAGCTTTAATTTGAATTGCTTTTGTAGGCTTATTGCCATGGCAAATTTATGTGTTCTTATTTCCTGTCTCTGTAATTTAGATATATTTTCAATACTATGTAATGCAGCACATTAAACATGGTGGATGTGGAGGATTGTTCAAAATGAACAAATCATAAATTTGAAATAAAGATTAAAAAGGTTTGCCAGAATGCAATTATAATTTGGTTTACCATGGTTGTGGTTCATGGGTTGAAATGCCTTCTTTTTCTATTTTACTTTAGCTTAAAAAAATTATGTGTGTGCCATTTGTGCAAAATGTCAACTTGATTCAGTTATTTAGTTATTACTGTGGGCTATTTAGAATAGACTCAATCATATGCATGCAGGTAAGAGTCAAAGTGTTCATGATTTATTCATGTTTATCTAACTGATGGTTTTTGCTGTTGTTGTTGTTGTTGTTGTTGTTGTTGTTTTATAGCTAAATCAGCTGACTAGACATTTTGTCATGAAGTTTTTCACAAGTCAATCTCTCTTCATGCTCTGTCAAATGTCTGAAAAGAAGGATAGGAAATGAGTCATTAGAATGATTTGACATTCAGAAATAGCATCTCCTACACCTGTTTCTGTAGAAATATCTTCCAATGAAAAAATACATGAGGAATGAGAAACACATTTCATTATACATTTTAGGAAACAGTGGGTTGTCTCTTCCATGCCTTTTGTACTCACTGCATTTGTACAACTTATTGATCCTTTCTATATCAATCTTAGACATTTTTGTCTGTTTGTCCTATTGGCACAGGATGATCGGGAATGGCAGTAATGGTTTCTTCTCCAGGCACTCATGCAAAGTCATTCCTAAGAAATGACTTCATCACTTAAAATTCATCAACAACTAGGAATAAACCAAAATTCAGTGTATATTTAATTTTTCTCCTGCTAAAGAGTAATGTGATTCAGATGCTGCTACCACAGCGCCAACACCAACATGCAAAGAGATGAAGTCAGAAACTTGCCACGTAGAAAATAATGTAACAGTTAGCAGCTAGGCAAGCTACCATTACACTCATAAACAGAGGTACTTCTTTAAAAAAAAAAAGAAAAAAAAAGAATAGCAAAACCATTTTGCTACTTTTCTGGAAACAGTTATGATACATCACAGAGGAGCAGTCATATAGTGTGTAAGTTGGCAGTATCCTGTTTATGCAAGTTGAATGCATTCTGTATTGAACAAAGAACAGAAACAGTTATCATTGTTCATTTCAGAGATATGAGCTTGTTTTGTCTCAGAGGTATTTTTGGAGACAGTCCTGTTTTCAGTCCAAGATCTCTGTGACCTTTGTATCAGATTTTAACCAAATGTAATATAATGGGATGGTCAGGTATTGTTCTGAAATTTGATTTATGAATGAAACTACTAGCAACCTTTTCTTCCTTAGATTCAAGATAAATCTGAATCCATAAAGGGAGGAATCATTAACCTCAAACAAGTTGAAATAAATCTCATCTGAGCAGCCAATATGTATAATAATTAACTTTTAATGCAAAATAACACTGTAGGTTGTAAGCCACTGCCCACAGGCATGGTATGGGCAGTTAAGGATGCAGCTGAAACATTTTGTTTTGAATAAATAAAGATTACCTTTGTTTGCTGCCAGAATTTTAGACATTAAGCCTAAATGTTGAGTGTCCTCAAACTTCACGTCTAAAATTAAATGATTCAGTTATCCAACATGAAGAAGCATGGAGTCATAAAATGAGTTAAAGACCCATGATAAGAATATTCAATCACCTTTCTTTTGTGGACGCACCTCCAGAGACACAAATGAATCTTTAGCAGTAAAATAAAACATGAATATTGAAGAATTTCATTTTTTTGTTTTCATTTTTATTGTCCCATCTTACTAGCTTTTTAATACAAACTAAGATTCATGAGAGATTTTTTTTATATAACAAAAGCTGACCTTGATTGTCATCATGTCAGGTCCTCCTTAAATAGTCACTCAATAATAGCACATTACAGATTAAAAATAAGAATTTAATGGTTTACTGTCATGTTTACTTACTACAAGATCAGTCTAAGAAGAAAGAAGAGGCCCATGTTTCCAAACACACACACACACACACACACACACACACACACACACACACACACACACACACACACACAATGTCTGTAATCATTGGTGTACATCTATCTGGAATGAGAAACCATTACTTTTCTTCTCAATTCTGATGAACCAGTTTGACCTTGCTAAAATGTGAATGGCTGGTTAGACATTTGTGCATGTTTGTTAATGGGCAGTTAAACGAGCTAATAAACCCAACTAATAATCAAATGCTCTCTCTCTCTCTCCTCACTCTTTAAACTTGTGGCTTACACCCAGAGTTGTCAGACACTTACATAGATCACATATTTGCTCTGCATGTACAATATCATCTCAGTTAAAACTAAAAACTTGTATGATTTTTTTTTAATAAAAAAGAAAATTAAATGAATGAACTAAATGAAAAGTTGCATTTAGTGGATAAGAATACATTCTTCCTCTTGAGTAAAACCCAATTTTCAAAAACAGAAATGTAAAACCTCTTCTGGGGCTTGCACAGCTAACATCTATGGATCTCCTTCATGATGGAACAGCAAAACTGTGCCACTGGGAACACTCATTTTCCATTTCTTAAAAGTCTACCATTTGGAAACTGGTGCACATGGAAACGCTATCCTACAATAAAACATCTGTTTATTCTCATTTAGTCATTCATCATGGCGGAGGAAAATTGCTTAGTAATATAAGGCTGTCTGGTGGGCTGGCAAGCCATTACAAAGTCTTTGCCTCTAAACTGCAGTGCTCACCTCATTTCACATTCATTATTTAACTATTAAGACAAGGTTTTCCATCTGTAAGCATTTTCCCATCTTTCACACACAGACACAGAGAAGCAAACTGAGAGAGGACTTTTATTACTGGTTTTATCTCCTGTCATCCAGTTTTCCTATTATCTGTCCCCTAAAGTAGCTTATTATTGCATTCACTCTTTGTCATCTTGTTTGTACCATTGTTGATGATTGCTATATTTAATTAAAGTGGCATTTTCATCATTTTATGATTCATCTTAGACATATTTCCCCCACTTTCAACCTGTCATGTGTGGCATCTTTGGAACAAAGTTTGGCTGCACAGAGTGACTAAGTGACAAATTAACCACCAGCCACTTTGAGAGGTTCAGATGAAGGCAAACAGATAAAAAAAAAAGGGTGGAGGCAGAGAAACAAAATAATAGGGGCCTACAGTAAGTACAAAGTATTATGCAGACTCTCATGGAAGAGATAGAAACACACTGGGAAAACTACGTAGAGAGGAAAATGCAGGAGTCTGAGGAACATGCAAATGCTAAGACTCAAGGAAAGTTTTGTCTGGATTAAAATTTGACGAACACCACACACAAGAACTATTTCCATTGAGCCAATCAACACTTTATTACAAACCAGGAAAATAAATACCAGAAATCAGCAATAAAATCCATCCAACTCAACCACATATAAAATAACAAAGTACACGAAAAAAGAGTAAATAGAACAGAATAGAATTCAACTTTATTGTCATTGCACAATTGCAATTGTCATTGTACCTGCACATGCACAGGTACAATTAACAATCAATATAGTTTTATCAAAAGTCTACATACACATACATTGATCATTGATAAAAAATAGAAACCTTGAGCAGAGTCCAATTAACCCTTGAAAAGCTCCAGTGGCACACATAACTCAAACATAGCAAACAGAAAGCACAAACAGAAGTGGCCATGCTGGTCCCATATTTATTCACAGACACAGTGAACTACAATTTCTGGCAGCAATTTACATTTGCATCTTTAATTTATTTTACAGTTTAAAATAGAAAAAGACACATAAGACTGGAAGGATGATATATTTTTGTATGGGATATACACCAGCCTCGTGCTTCATATCCCAAATTGTTCATCTTTATTATGTATCAGAGATTCAGAATTATAACATTAAAGAGTGCGTGAAGAAAAAAAAACAAGGGAAAAGAATTCCTCATATTTCTGTAGATCTTTCATCGCTGAACATGGAAATGGTGCCGTACTGAATGTTGAATCTTGTTTTAGGAAATCAGGTGAGTTGTTAGACACTGGTCTCAATGGGACGTGACATCTTACAGTTTAACATATTGGACAGGACTCTCTTTTGGTGTTTGTACCTGGCACCCACACACACACACACAGATAGATAGATAGATAGATAGATAGATAGATAGATAGATAGATAGATAGATAGATAGATAGATAGATAGATAGATAGATAGATAGATAGATAGATTAGGAGAGAGATACAGACACCATAAGCAAGCAAAAAATAAATGAGAAAGTTTAAATATTGGCGCCACCACCTGACCTCAAACGTTACTACAGTTTTTATACTGGTGAATGTTGGTTATGCACATCTTTTTGACTGGTGTAAAGGAAGATGTAGTCATGCATAAGTGGTAAAACACGCACCGTTAGGCTCTTTATTTATATTCTCTATTTTCAAAACTTAATTGCACTCGTGAGAAAGCATTTCAAGAGCGTTTAAGCAAATAAAATTGTATACTAACTTGTTCTCAATTGTTTGTATCTCTCTGTTCTCCTCGTCTTTGAGTTTCTGTAAAACTTTTTCAAGGATTGGAAGCTCTAAGTTCAGATATTGAGCTACCTGCAAAGAAAAATATGTTACCATATAGTTTGCAACAAATAAAAAAGCAGAAAACTCCTTATTAGAAGTAAATGAAGGTACCTTAAAACACTTAAAGGGTAACATTATGTTACCATAAGTTAAGGCATGGCTACTACACTCACATCATCACTAACTTCCTCTTCATCTGCATCCATCAAAAAAATCTTCATGATGTCATCAGAGGGTCCCTGCAGTGTGCGCTCCCATAACGGCTGGTCTGTGTTACTCAGCTTCCTTTTTTCTGGACAAAGCACACAAGTGCCACATTGGTGCAGCATTTTCTTGTGCTATGTCTAATTATTGCATTTCTTGTGGAAAAGATGAACCCACCTCCACTTTGATGAAGACAGTAGAGAGCAAATTCCTGGGGATCGTTCTGTATCTGATGAACATACAGCCAAAAAAATATATAAATATATACATATTTTTTTTTGGATGAAGTTATTATGGTTTGATGAATTCTGACTATACATTATTTACATCCCATGCTTAATCCATGAGGTTTAATAAGATATTTGCAACCCTGAGAGCAACCCATTATTTCACAAATGTTTGTAGAAGAACTCTATGTGCCTAGTGACTGGATTTTACCCACCAGAGGCCCTGGAAGTGATTGGACCACCTGGATTCAGTGATTGATATGGGTGACTAAATACATTTGGCAATATAGTGTACCTCCCTCCCTAAACAGTGCTGTGATTTCTTTTTTTTGACTCCTTCCTAATTTCTTGGATTTTTGCATATTTGTCACACTCATTTATTTCAGATCATCAAGCAAATTTTAATATTCATTTGTGTTCATAATTTTCATTTAAGGGTAACCTGAGCAAATATAAACTACAATTTTTAGATCATGATTTCATTTTTTTAAGGGACAAAAGCTATCCAAACCTCTCCTTCAGGAATTCATGATTCCGTTAATTACAAGAAGTAATCCAGGTCCTAGAGCAGCAAAGACCTGGAGTTGCTCTGTTGCTCTGTGCTCTGTAGTTGCTCTGTGAGTAACTACAGAGCATCGCACTATCACCATTGTCTGTTGGTATAATGTTCTTTTTTGATGTGACAGGATATAAAGCTGGTTCTTTTGTTATGCCCTGAATGAGTTCATGTTGTAAGTTTTGTAGGGTGGCCAGTCCTGGGAAGTTTCCCTAGTGTTCCAAGTTTTCTCCCTTTGTGGATAATGGCTATCACCTTGTTTCACTGGAATCCCAAAGCCTTAGAAATGGCTTTGTAACCCTTTCCATACTCAGATGTCACTGACTTTGTTTCCTATCTGTTCTCAAGTAAGTTAGGTTTAGGCAATGTGTGTCGCTTTCCGAGCTCCTTTAGCCCGTTTAAATTTTCTCAGACAGGTTCTATTTAAGCGATTACCTGATTCAACATGTCTGACAGTAATGAGGCCTGGGTGTGGCTGCTGAAAATTAACATGAGCATTCAAAAAAAATAAATAAAAAATTAATGATTTAACAAGAGGGGATAATGCAGAGATATGTTTGGGTTGCTGTTTTTTCCCTCCTGAATAAATGAAATCATCATTTAAAAACTGCATTTTGTATTTAAAGGTACAGTGTGTAAGTTATTTGTGACCTTTGAATGAAAAGTTATGAGGTGCATTATATGTGTGCCTGGTCTCTAGTCACATGCATAAAAGGATGGACTGGTGATGCCCATGTTGGACACTGTATTCAAGATAGCCGCAACATCGCAACATCCACAAATGGTGCCCACAACAAAGTATTTTTAATGCATTATTTCTACGTTTAATCAGTTTCTTAAAAGATTTAATTACACACTAATCAAGAGATAGATATATATATATATATGTGTGTGTGTTCAAAATTGGGGTTTTGTCTATTAAAAACCTCATAAACTTACTGTACCTTTAAAAACTCAAGAAGGTGAAAATCCTTTTTTTCACAGCACTTGCATGTACACAAAATAAATTACAACAATTTTTTGTACCAGCCCTCTGGCACCAAACTTACCTTGAACTTGTGCAGCAGCTGTTCAATGACTTGGTTTGTGGTCATTCTGCTAGAGATACGAACTTTGGTTGGTGTACCAAAGCACGGAGTGAAGATCGAGGTCTGTGGAACAGAGTGAAACAACACTGACCTTAAACTCATGATGAAGAAAATAAGCCCTGAGGGCAGTTTTAAGCAGAAACCCACTTTGTAATTGTAGAAGTGGCCATTGATTGAAAAGCGATGCTGCCTTTCTTTTTCTCTTTGAGCTGCTGACTTTCCTGTGCTCCTCCTTCTTTTAACCAGCGAGGCATCACTCATACAGCGGAACAGGTTG